CAAAATTACGATCTACAAGTTATGAATAGGGCCCTTACTTGAGTTTTGTCTCATCATCATGCACAGTGTCTCCGTAAATGACGGGTGTAAATTAGAAAGTCTGCAAAGGGCGTTTACTAAACGTCTGGTAGGTGAAAACCTTTGCATTTCTTACTACGACAGATGTAATATATTCGACTGCGAGCCCTTATGGGTCAGACGACTGAAGTTCAACCTAAAAATCACATTTAGGACTGCTAAAGGGCTTATATATTTCCCCCACAATAACTTCCATACAGAGATTGAGACTGCATTCACTGGACTGCTTTCAGTTGTATTGCAAAATATCCGGGAATATACATATATGTATTAGGTGAACTGATATTAGTAATGTAGGCCTGAAGGATGTGTGAATAGGAGGGAATAAACATAAGATGGTTGACATATAATCCAGCAGAGAGATGAACCGTTCGTAGATTCCACGGAAGATCTGAACACACATAGGACTAATAAGACCTCGACAGTTTCTCTCCTGTGAAATTCAAAGCATTATAGAGCTGCCTCTCCCACATCCACTGGTTATAACCAACCGAAAAAGATTAAATCCAGAGGCATTAAAAATCTTTCATCAGACCACACGAAATTATTCGTTTTGTGAATGGAGAAAACAAATCAAACCTCAAAACTTTTATGCATATATACATTAATTTGCTCCCATAGGCCAAAACATATGCACCTCCGATCGATTGTGCATATCGACCGAACATCTGGTGAATCGCAGGAGTACTGCTGACACCTAGTATTCGACGAAAAATATTATTATTTAACATATGTCCATATATACATTTCAATATTTCAGCTTCGAATTCGACCATAACCCAACTCCTTATATGCTATATATGTCTCAAAAACTGTACTTATAACTTTCGAATTTGAAATCCTTGCAAAGATTTTCATATAAACCGGTACATTTAAATGAAATGCATGCCGGTTTCACATGCATGGTCGAGGATAATATGAATTGCTTTCGCAAACCGTCTCAACAGTTCACACAGCTGAATCAATATAAGTGATCAGAAAGTGTCCATACGAACGTTGAACTGTAAGGATATCACCAAGCTGGTCATCAAGGCTGAGTGACGACTCAAACCCTGCTTTCTCTCCTGCGTTCAATTTCGGTCAACCGATAAACAAGCGATTTTCAAGCAGCTGCCATGTCTGTGGAGTCCTCAAAAATAAACTTATCCAACTTTTACTATTATGTGAGAAATGAACATATTGTACATTACTTTGTTTTAACCAAAATATCTGTACTTTGAACTTAACCTCGTGTTTTGAATGAAAATATAGTTCTGCCTACAACTCTCCGTCTTCTCCACCATCTCAACTGCCATCGGCCAATTCTAGTTACCTATCTTCTATTTCAGAATTTCGCAGGGACGCCGTAATTTCTCCCTACGTTACCTTGGTCAACCTCTGGCAATATCGACATTGGAGAGTTAGGATTGGAGCAGTCTTCTCACAATACTTCTGGAGTCTGTTAAGTTAATTGTGGATTTTGGACCTTCTAATAACCCAAGTAACAAATTTTAATATATTCTTCCAGTAGCTGTACGGAATTTGTATTTTTTATTTCTATTCGAATCCGGTATATTAAGCTAGCTAAGTCTAAGGTCCGCCACGTGTCTACGCGTTATCTAAAGCTATTTTGATGACGAAAGAACGTTCCGAGAAAATCCAAAGTGGAACAAAACACAAATAAGTGTGATATATAGCCGAAAATACATTCACGGAAGATATATAAGAAAGAGCTATATGATCCCCAGAATGATAATGTATATTTGCAATGCATAATGCTGACCGCATCAGTCTTACAATCGAAACGTCGATGTTTTCAGTGAAAATGTAGCTTCCCTAAAACATAGTGTTGTTTCTTCTTCAACACAACTAGACGTTAAGGGTCAAGGAATGCGAACAAAATGAGGAAGTGCTAGCTTCATTGGAGGCTTGTATAGTCGAGGTATATAATTCGACACCTTGCAATCAAAGAAAACTTTCACATAGAAATTTGGTGTCTGCTTTAGAGGGTGCACACGTGCCACACGTTGTAAAAAGGAAGATTTCTCATTGCTCATTTGAAATACACCCAGATCGCCTCGTATTGTATTTTAGCCACAATGTTTACGCAAGTAAAAATCTGTTAATCACAATGTGTTTATATGAGTTTCGAGTACTCAGCCTCCAAATAAAGCATTGAGTGCCTGAATCCTGTCTAGTTTCGTTCTTTTGATCCAGACAGCTGTATCTGGCGTGGTTTTGATATCAATCGGCTTTTGCTGGGTTGATTTCTTAAAAAGTCGTTGTTTAGCGCTGTTTCTAATTGTGAATGCATTGCTTGCGCGACAGGATTCTTAAATATGCGTTTCACACCATAATCAACTTTCATGCTGAGCATTCGTTTCGTGTAGCGAGTATGCTTGGCGTACATTTCCGCGAATGGCTTTTAAATAATTTCCCTTCAGCTCGGTGTCGGTCTCCATTCTACCACAGTGCTGGAAACTAAAAATATGGAAAGTATTCAGATTTGTGCTGCTGCAAATTTGTGGGATAGTTCGGTTACTGAAAGTCAATGAAATCCATAGATTCAAGCAAAATTCTGTCCGTATTTGAACTGAAGATACATGATGTTCCAGGGACACTTGCGAAATCCACTACTTTCTCTGAAAAATGTGAACTGACTTAAATGCACACTCGGACAACTTCTTTTAGTGTCTCTTTCTATTTGAATTGTCTAGACATTGTCTTGATCTGGTGCTTAAAGACGTTTACCTAAAAGTTCGTCACTTCGTTTCGTCAGCGTGTTTGCCTTCACAACTTGCCTCGCTTTTGCTGTTGTCCCGACCCTTATGTATATTAGTTTACGTGATGAAAATTTGTGGAACTGTCTTGCAAGCATACAGATGTGATGTTTTGACTTTAGGAAAAGAGGGTTTGTTAACTGCTGCTGCATACATTATATATAACTAAGAAAACCAGTTGAGCAATTAGAGCTTAGAATTATCCGTTAAAGCGGAAAAAGATGCTAAGGCAAAACACAGTTAGCATTTCTCAAGTTAATAAGTTAAATAAGTGGTAAAGTTACTGGAGACATTAATGTGAAAGCAGTTGAAGATGAAGCGGATATGTTAATTTTCGCTTGTTTATAATACGAGGTGATACGTTTTTGAATGGGGGACAATGCTGAAGGAGTTATTATCTATATTCTGAGGAGCGATATCAGTGGGTCAGTTTACTAGCGTTTGCAAGTAGCCAGGCGAAGTCTTTCGTTAACAATGGTAGATAAGTCTGCCGACGTTATTACCTTAGTAACTGTATTCATTTGTTCTTTAATTTCTAAGTGAATGTGGACGTCCCGATAGGTTTCTTGAAGGATATTCTATAGTAACAGATAAAATTGGAAGTTTGCCTAGCTAAAAATCAAATTGCATTTCTGAAGTAATCTTTGTCGTGTATGCATTCCATGATTAAGTTGCAACCGAAAGCCTCCGATCTAATCAGTCTAAAAGAACCAATATAAACCACGTGAACCGGGTGTTTCAACGAAAAATACGCCATATATAGCATCTTTTCTGGTAGGACAAGTAGCAAAGGGCATATATCTTGCCGACAATGATCAAAATAGTCACATTACTACACCTATGCAAACAACATACAGAGAAGTCAGTAGCGAATCAAAAAACTAATTCACAGCTCCTCGGGGAGCTGACAGAGAATAAAACCACTCTGCTGACTGCTAACTTCATGTCATTAGAGGGACCACTTGAATAGAAGTATTCAGTAGTGAGCCACGTATGGAAAGAAAATCAGACTGATTTCCTCGAAATTAAAGACTGATCAACCCTACAGCCCAGTACTAACCCGTTGCAACTGTCTGGTTTACGATCTTTCAGGCAATGTGTAAGAGCTTCCCTAGAATCAACAATGACGATTTCATCTCTCCAGATGAAACTTTACCGAGGTCCAAACTATGAAACTACCTCCAAGCAGTCTAACCTAGTAAGAATGGGGACTATGGCCTTGTGTAATTTATTCATGCACTAAGCGTTAACTGGAACTTGCACGGGAAATCACGTTATAACAGCCGGAGTTGCTACGGAAAGTTAGTATTATAAGTACAGCCTAATGTGAAACAGATGACCACATGCTTAGTATAAAACCGTGAAACTTTATTTATTTATTTAAGTAAACTCAGGCACTTATCACTAACAAATGCATAATTAGTCACTGTGAGACAAACAGGAACTAGCGGATCAACTAGAATAATGAAATAGATGATCAAATGTACTATTGTAGGTGAGTGGAAATCCGATAGATTCGTGACTCATTGATTCATGAATATGCCAAGTGCGACCTCGTATTTACTAGTCATTACAGAGACTCATGTTTGTTGTAAACATTCATAGATCATGCCCATGTATGACCCCTAATACCAGAGATGTGTCGTATAAGTGATGACTTAATTGACTGAATCTCTTTTTAAAGTGTTGGAAATATTCATGTGATGATAACTAAAGAAAATTAGGTACGTAGAAAGCATCCCTTTAGTAACGCGCCATCAAAGCCGTTCCTATAATGGTATGGGAAACCTCAGTCTCAAAATGTATTACGAGATCAGAAACTTATATAGGTGATAGTTGCATACTGCGCACATGAACTACCAGACGTAACATCGTGCAAAATCGTGTGGGTACTTGACTGTGTAGTCTTAGCACAGCCAGTTAACTTAAGCAGTAAACTTCTACATAGCGTTGAATGATGAACTTTATGGTCTAATAATTTCGTGCAATGATTCACCAATACAGCTGATTTTGTAATTCACCCAGTTTGAAGTGGTTGGGAATGCCCATTTAAAGTTACATAAAAGCCAACTGATGGACAACGAATATTCTCCTCGATGAATTTGTCATAAGGTTCTTCATTTATGTGAACACAATAATAATAATTATTATTAAAAAAACATTACACTTTTAAATGATTGTGGGGCAGTAATATCAAAAGATTCTATTTCGAAAGCATTATTAAGCGATAATGTGCAGCCATATTACTCTAGGCTGAATACCGGACACATTATCAAAGCAATAAAGGATTTATGAAATTATAGGTTCTACAGCAGTCCAGGGTATCAAAGGTGGCTGCATCTTTCTTTTGCAGGTATGGCTGTATTTGATTTAAGCGAACTGCAATGACCCCTGCTGTTCTAAAGGTTTGGTATCTAGACGCCTTTGGAAACCCGGTAGTTGATGAGGGAAGACTGTTGAGTGCTAGCTTTGTAGTCATTTTGGACGAATTGATCTCATTGTTTTTAAAACACCTTTATTCAGCCACACTAGTAGGTGTTAGCGAGTATGAAAAATAAGGTTTTCTTAGCGAAATGTAAACTCATACGTTTTGTTGTCAATTGATGCCACTAATTGATCCGTGATGACAATTTTAAAATCTCAATTCACTAGAAATTTAATAGGAAGCAGTTCGTAAAATTCCAGAAGATGTATCAGCCTATTTCATTAGCCAAAGGCGAACTATTCTACTAATACTTAGAATTCGTGTCAGTAACCACAGTAGATTTATCCAGGAAGGGAATAGAAAAGTATGAACAATTTATAAAAATTAATTAACATAGCCTCGGAAATTCACTTCAGACAATAATCTGAATTACAAATATGCTATTCGTTAGCAAGAAGCGCTTAAATCAAGTAGTGCGTGACTATGTCGGAACGTTCGGAAATGGAACATGTGAGCAGATTTAGTGCAGGCACGATACCTCTGTCTGTGCTCATTGAGTTTATTTCACAAAAAGTGTATACAGATCTAATGCGTCTTATTGACTTGTAGGTATTCTTGTAGTTAATTAATATTTTTTCAACAGGCTGCCAAGCAAAACTGATCTTGAAAAAAAAATTGAGATTGCCACATTCTTCAGTCGAACGCAGCATATATTTATTAGACTTGAAGCACTTGTGAAATGGTCCAACAGTGCGTCGAAGGTTGACAAGTGTGAGGTATTGTTGCCCCAAAATATTAATGCTGTCACTCAGAAAATCTCCAACTTTTTAGAAGAACAAACATTTTTCTTAATTAGCACAGCTAATGCTCTTTCCAGACTTCTCAGGGAAACACTTGTCAGTGCCAGGTAAGTCAGTAACTACCTCTAATTTTTTTCTTGCAGATTGCCTCCTTTTTCTGTGCTTAGTGCTATAGAAGTTTTCACCAAAAAAGGATACACTCGTCTTCCTAAGTCAATTAAGGTAGTTAAATAATTCATTTATAGTCTTTAAGAATTGTGCTGTTGTTGAACAATCGATAAGTGAAAAAGAAAAGAAAGAGATTTTATTAAATTTGAACAGTTTAATCCAAACTCGTCTTAGCCTTAGTCAGATACCAAATCAATTCCGAAAAATAAAAATAGGTAGGTATTGTAAATTCGCTAGACGAACTTTTTATTTCAGCTAATGGACGTGCGCATTTTCTCGTTCCAAATGAATTCAGTGTAAGTTGACAATGTATTTTCGCTGAAAGTTTTGTAGGTCACATTAACTCTGATGTCAGAGGCACTTGATTTCCCATGGCGAATTCTGGACATCAAGTTTTTAATAAAAGACCCATTGATGAGTAAGTTGATTACGAATTATGTGTAATATTGTCTCATCGATACCCGGTTTCTCGGTTTTCATGATGTCCCCTTTACGTGAACCCAGTGGAGTGTGTTTTAGCTTCATTAGCTTCGCTAAATTCTTATTGTGGTGACTGAATTTTAGATGATTTGTATTAATATTCTAGGAACATCTGTCTATATTTTCTAACTATCATTAGCTGTATTTCCTGTTCTAATTCAGATTTCAGATTTATTTGTTGAGGATAGAAGGCTTGGAGCTTATGTTAATCCTTTTCTAGTAAATTTCTATGGTTGTCCAAACCCTTCTTGAACGAGGTTGCAGGCACCACTTCTTCTGGGAGTCAGTCGCTTCCAAGAGTTTGTGACTCGATGTGAGAACCAGTACTCAACAGCAATATGAAAATGGTAAAGTGGGAATAGTTAACAAACCTATTCAAAATATTCGCTGGCACCGAAAAATTAAATAGACTCACCAAATGCTTCTCAGAAAAATGTACATGATCAGGAAATTAAGACCACAAATCATGCCGACAATAACATTGGTAGTATAAATAAGCCCACACTTCCCACGGCCAATAGTATTAGCACTCACAACGTGCGAAATCGCACCATGGCACACACTAATAACCAACGTCACAACAATGCCACCCCCAATAGTACAAATGGCAATAGCCAGAACTCGACCACCAACAACTCAGGGTATTCACAGTATGGCACACAAATAAATTTTGATCGGATATATGGTACAAGTCTGCTGGGAACTAACACACAAAGTAGTACACACGTAACCCATTCAAGGACACAACTAGTACCAAACAATAGGTGGAATAATAAACCATGGTCTTCACATGGTCCCAATCATTTTTTATCCCCTGCGTCCTTGTCAGCGTTGAAAAAACAGCTGGTAGGGATGTTAACACTCCTAAACCGCTAGTGCTGGCTCCCCCTTTGCATGAATACAGGATCAGTGTAGTGCACCCGCATCCATTAAGCACACTTGATGCATGCACAAGTTTAGGTCAAATAAAGATCCATACCCACGTTTCTAGCTTAACTAAAAATAAAAACGCCTTAGCTTATAGCAAATCCACTATTCCAACGCTTAATTCTTCACCGAAAACAACGCACACCAACTCGATAGACATGGGTGAGCTTGATGTTGAAACTTCCCATTAACATAGGGTCGTCATGTCAAACAGTATTACTGGGTGGTGAACCACATTCGGGGCTGATTAACGAACTCAAATACTTCAAATGCTATTTCAAATCTCATCTTTACCTGATCCTCATAAGTGCTAGATCTGTTCTAAATAAACTACCGATGCTCGGAGCACTCACAGTAATATACAAACCCCCTATAATTGTCATCACTGAATCTTGGTGTAATTCGAACATACTGGATGAAGAGATAAGCTCAGATAACTACACACACTTTCGGTGTGACAGGGAAGGTGGAAAGGGAGGGGGTTGTCTCATGTACTTTCTGAATGCACTTACTGTATCACAGCTAGAAAGTAGTACACTTAACATGCCTGAGACTTTATGGGTTAACTTACACTTAAATAACGCAATAGTATTAACTGGATGCACCTACAGAGCACCTGGCACCTTTAGTAATTACGAGACCCAACTCATTATAACTCTGGAGCAATTATCCACCTTAATATACGATCATAAGATCCTATGTGGAGACTTTAACTTGCCTAAATAAACTGGGATATACCCACAGGCCCAACTAAATTTGATAAGTTCTTAGGCCCACTGGAAATATTTGGCTGGAAACAAACTGTCACTACCCCTACAAGAGGTAATAACGTACTAGACTTAATCTTCTGCCACAATATAAGTCCCCTTTCTACCCTAGTAGGTTCTGAGTTTTCAGGGAGTGACCACAAAACAGTGCTGTGTGCACTGCCACTTCCACCAAGTAGCAATGCAGCCCACACCCCTACTTCACAACAAATAACATACAGGAACTACAGTAAGGCAGACTGGACTCTAGTGAAATCAATGTTAAGATCCTCAGAATGGAGAGAGTACTTCTATACTGATAATCTCTCGAAAGCTCTAGACATCTTTTACTGTAACTCAAACACATACTTAGACGCTGTGATCACATTGCAAACAATAAAAGTCTCAAAATTCAAGAAGCAATTCATTCATCCAAACTGAAGAGACTGTCAACAAGGTAATTCAGACGACACAACTTTAGTACACTAGGGTCAATACTTAGTACTCTTAGCTCCATCTCGCAAGCTCATGACTTGCGTATGAGAAATGAAGAATGCACCGCACTAGCCAGCACCACCAGAGTAGGTGCTCTCACAGAAATCCTGAAGAAACGAATGAATCGCCAAAACCATTAAATTTCTCTCCTTATAAACAAGGGTAAACTATACAGCAACCGTGCAGACATGTGTGAACCGTTTAACGAGACGTTTGCAGCTAACTACTTTAAGCCCACAAGTCCACCTCTCGGTTTACAATCTACAATGGAACTCCCTTCTTCTTCAACGCTGAAACGAATCAGTACAGTTCATTTCACTTATTCTAATATTAACCGAGCCATTAAAAGTCTTAAAAACTCTAGTAGTGCTGGTATTGACGGTATACCATCGTATCTTTATAAACACGGTGGTCCTGACATTTCCTTTTTATTACTTAAGATCTTTACAATGTCCCTAGAAAGCCGAACCTATCCAGATAAATGGAAAACCACATTTATAATACCCAAACACAAATGTGGATCGAAAACTGAAGTCAACAACTATAGGCCTATCAATATTACACCCATAGCATCTAGAATTATTGAAAGAATAGTTAAAGGTGATATTCTCAAACGTATGCTCAGCTGCAATATTCTAAGTCCAAACCAACATGGATTCCTAGAATCCAGATCATGCATGACCTGTCACCTTGACTTCTTTAACTATATATATATATATTTATTCCTGTTTATGCAGGAACATACCAATTGTACAGGCATGGATAAGTTATTATATAAATTACAGTTTGTTTGTTCAATCGAACATTAGAGTCAGTCAGAACATTCTGCAAAATAGTCTGTCTGTGTAACACATAAAGGGATATAGAAATATTGTCTTCGCATTAACAAAAAACCCAGACTTCAGATGAATGTGATACAAACATCTGGGAAAAATAAAGCTTGAAGTCAATTCTCCTATAAAACTTTGTTGTGAACAGCATCCGTGAGATAAAGTTTATTGATGTATTATTTTGATTCAATAATGTATTTATTCCATTTTTGTCAGCAGTCTTATCGTAGTTTTATAATAGGAAAGAAATTTGATCTTTGATACGAAAATTAGATAGGGTAATGTTAAATTGTTTTACTGCATCAAATGGGGTCAATTCTAGAACTATCCATTAGCGCCATTTGCGTCAGATCATGCATGACCTGTCACCTTGACTTCTTTCACTATATAACCAGTAGCCGAGACGAACAACACCCTCAATAAATATCAAACTGGTACTTGAATCTATTGACTTGCCTAAACTCTAGAGTGTTGTTGACCTAGGACTCGGGTACTCTAGTGACCTGACATTTTCTGAGAAAGTGGCAACATAGACGCGTAAATCGAGGATGCTCTTAGGATGCACACTCAGGAATTTCCACAACTACGAGGCCAAACTTATATCATGCAAAACATGTGTCAGACCACTACTGGAAAACTGTCCATTCATTCTCAGCAGCACTCGTGTGTGTGACAGGCTTAAAATAGAAAGCGTCCAACGATGCTTCACGTCTAAACTACTAGGAATTGACTGCGAATAGGACTACACGTCAAGGTGTATGACTCTAGGTATCGACCCACTCTGGTTGAGGCGACTCAGCATTGATCTAACATTCTTCTTTAAAGTCTTGCATAAAATATCATTCTCAGACAGTAATGAGATACAGTCCTCGCCGGAAGGCTCCTACAACCTGCGTTGCATTGATCTACATTCCGACTGAAGATGAGAATTCGAAAGTCACTTACTCATATATCATCCCTCAAGGTTTGGCTAGTAATGATGAAATCCTCTGTCAGCATAACAAGACGCTGTACAGCATCTTATACAAGCACTTTCAATGATCTAAAATGGCTTACATATAGCTATCTACGTGTTAATCAACTTACTCGTACGGAACAACCATGCAGTGACAAATGGCGGGCTCTGGGTGACTTGGATGCAGTAAAACAAATCTGCTTGACAATAACCAATATTAACCTGCATTCAGTAGAATTCACATCTGGTGTTAATTGCAATAAAATTGATGCAAAAATCATACAAATAAATCACTCATTTTAAATTATTACCCAATTTGAACATAAAACAAGATACGATGCCGCACTCAACAAAGTTATACGGAGGAATTGACTTCAAGCTTTATTTTTTCCCAAATATTTGTAATTTATCCAACACATACTTGGGTTTTTTTGTTAATGCGAAGGAAATATTTCTATATTTCTTTATGTGCTCCATTGAACGACTAGCTATCAGATTGTACTCACTAACTAATGTAAACAATACTTATCCATGCCTGTACAACTGGTGTGTCCTACATAGATAGAAAAAAATACATATCTATGTCTATGTTTGAAAGGGCGGCCGGTCAAGACGATAATTGCCTGCTGCAATGTGATAGAAAACTTGATCACAAGCAGGCTAGATCCTGGAAAACCGATACATCTGTGAATTAAATTACACAACCAGACATTACCCAAGAAAGCTTAAAATCTCTCCCAACTATTTACCTCAGTTACGCTGATTTTGAGAAATTTGTAAATACGATCTAACCTGGGATAGTTTGACCGTTACATCGACACTAGGCAAATACTTGTAAACTTCGATCAGTAGCTATATCATCATACTGCATA